TTCTGGTTGTAGTCCCTATCATTCTCAGCAAACTGACACAAGAACAGAAAACCAAACACTGCATATTTTCTCTCATAGGTGGGTGATGAACAATGAGAAAACTTGGGCACAGGGAAGGGAACAACACTCACAGGGCTAAGTGGGGGCGGGGGAGGGAGGGGAGGACAGCAGGACGGGGTGGGGAGAAGGGGGAGGGATAACACCAGGAGAAATGCCTGATGTAGGCAATGGGTTGCAGGGATGGAGACAGAAAACTACCATGGCATGTATGTACTTATGCAACAATCCTGCGGGATGCAGCATGTGCACATGTACCCCAGAGCCCAAACACAATAAAAAAAATTTTTTTTGAATGACATGGAAGCCTGTTCAGGGCAAATTCACACACATTTCAGGTGACTCAAACCCTCTGTCTCAGTCCTAATTCTGGGGAGTCACCCAGTCATCCTGTTCCAGATGTTGCCAAATTAGGTAATCTCAGGCAGCCTCAGAATGGAGAGTTTTCCCCTCCCTGTTCCCTCTCCTGAGCCGGCACCAGTAGAGCTCTTCCTGTACCCTTCCTTCCTCATACCTGGGCTGATCAGCCAGCGTGAGTGAGAACCTGGACTGGCTGTCCAATCATAGGGCCCCCTGGGTGGTCTTTTCTAGTAGGTGGGATGCCCCTTTAGAAAGTGCGCTCCGAGTCCCTCAGTAGACATACATGGAACTCGGCATACATCTCAGCATTCATCTTGGCAGGATGCCCCAAGCAGAAGTCCAGTTCATGACACTGTGTGGCACTGCCCACAAGGGGTGTGTTTTCCAGTTCCACCATGGGACAAACCCTGTCTGTTCCTTCAGACTTACCCCTAGGCTGCATCCTAAAGCATTAAGACAAATTTAACACTCAGACTCTCAAAAAAAGAAATATCTGATTTTCTTTTGTAACACAGCATGACCCCTATGCAGAAAATCCTCAAATTAACCTCTTCAGTCTTTATAATTGAAAGGAAAACAGGGCTAAGAAAAAGAAAAAAACAAAAACAAAAATGCAGGGACAAGAGGCAGAGTCAATGGTTAGCTTTACGAATTCTCAGCTTCTCCAGGTTTCCCTGAGGACACGCCTCCAAATAACCACCATCTGTGCAAAAGGCCAGGCCACTGAAAGGCAACTTACCCAGTAAAATAAACGGGGAAAGTCCCTCTCTGCCACAAGCTTGGCCACTGGAAACAGGATTGCCCTGAAAGCTGAGGGACTCCCTGAACAAAAATTCAACTCCCAATGGCCTGAATCTAAAAAGGCTCTCCGCTGCAGCTAAAAAGAACTAACTTTAACTAGTAACTTGTGGAGACGGGAAACATTTGTCCCACGTTCTGTGGGTCTGAAGTGCTGAAGCTCCCCCTGACAGGAAATAAAGTAGAAAAGAGTGCTAGCTCCGCACCATGCAGTGGCTAGAAGGCTCACAAGCCCCCCATAGAGCTGAACCCTTGCCTCTCCATTCTTTCTTTTCCTTTTCTCTTTTTCTGTTCAATCCAAAGATCCATCCTTAAAAAAGAAAGACAGTTTCCAACTTTCTAATATTTGATTTTATTGTTCTCTTTAAAATTCCAGCTGCTTGCATATTATGGCCTCTTTTCATGTACAATTTAAACTGATCGGCAAGTTGCCACAAGAAAAATTCAGAGCTCAAATGATTAATGTCCTATTGAGTTAAATGAAGTTTTCTAAAGTTCTTTATTGTCCTATTTTTTTTTCTGTCTGCCTTAGATCAAGGTGGTTTTATAATCACCTGTAGAACTCTAATGGTTGCTCTTGGGTGCAGGTTTCTAATAACTTTGGAAATTGTAACATTACAATAAAGAAAAAACTTCCCAGATTCCCATTAAAAGCTAATGTGTTCATAAATATTGTTATTGTTGCTCTGTTAGTGGGGAAATGTGGTGTCCTAATTAGGGAAAGGGAGTCAGGCTGGCAGGACCAAGTGAAAGCAAAAAGAGAAAGCAGATAAGCTCCAAGTCTACCTTTCTTGTGGTCCAGGATACATAGCCCTCCTGTGCAAATAATTCACCGTCTTCCTGCAGCCAGCTATCAGCAGACACCTGCAGGTTAACTCACTGCAGTCTTGGTATTATCAGTACTACACAAAGCCCTGTTTGGCATGAACACTACCCTACAACATCTCCACAAGTCTTTGTTTCTTTGCAGTCAGCTTCGGCTGACTTGCTCATTGCCTCTCTGGCAACCACTAGCCCAGATAGTTGTTGCTCTCCGCAACAAATACCACGAGCATCTCTATGCACATAAACTTTAGATGAGATTAATCATTCCTAGGAAACTACAAACTGCTAAAACATGCCCAAGATGAAATAGACATAATCCTATGACTATTGACGAAATCAAATGTAAAGTTAAAAGCCTTCTAAAAAAGAAATCTCCAGGCCCATATGATTTTACTGATGAATTCTACCAACTATTTAAATGAGAATAAAACATCAATTCTATACAATCTCTTCCAGAAAATAACAGAGGGACAGTTTCCAACTCATTTTATGAGTCTCTCATTACCATTATAACAAAAACAGTGCAAAAAAAAATTATAGACTACTATACCTATATCATTATGTGTTTTTGAACACAAATGAAGAAATCCTTAACAAAACATTTGCAAATCAGCAATGTATAAACAGAATAGTACAGCATGACATAATGGTGTTTATCATATGAGCATTATATAAAAATCAGTACAGGCTGGGTGCAGTGACTCACACCGGTAATCCCAGCACTTTGGGAGGCCAAGTTGGGTGGATCACTTGAGGCCAGGAGTTCAAAACCAGCCTGGCCAACATGGCAAAATCCCATCTTTCTTAAAATTACAAAAATTAGCCAGGGGTGGTGGCGTACGCCTGTAATTCCAGCTACTCAGAAGGTTGAGGCAGGAGAATCACTTGAGCTCAGGAGGCGGAAGTTGCAGTGAGCTGAGATCACACCACTGCACTCCAGCCTGGGCAACAAGAGTGAGACTCCATCTAAGAAAAAAAAAAAAAAAGAAAGGAAGAATAGTACAGCATGACATAATGTTTATTATATATACCAGCAATGTATACAAAAAATAGGACAGCAAGACATAATAATGTTTATTCCAGGAATGCAAGTGTGGCTTAATATTTGGATATCAACCAATGTAATCCCCCATAGACTATGGAGAAAAAAACAACACATGATTATATTAATTAATGTAAAAAAAGCATTGGACCAAACTTAATGACCATTCATGGGGGCAAAAGAACCTCTTAGCAAGCTTGAAATAGAAAACAAAAGTCTGTTTTGTTTTTATTTTTTTGATGGAGTCTTGCTCTGTAGAGAAGGGGTTTTGCCATGTTGTCCAGGCTGGTCTCGAACTCCTGACCTTAGGTGATTTACCTGCCTCAGCCTCCCAAAGTACTGGGATTACAGGTGAGAGCTACCATGCTTGGAAAAAAAAGAAAGTCTTCAATATGACAATAGACATCTAAAATCTACAGCTATTATTATTATGCTATTCTCATGTAATTAAGAACAAGGTAAGGATGTCCATTCTTATCTAGTCAATACAATTAAAAGAAAATTTTACAAAAAGGCAGACAAATTGGAAAGTAGAAAATAAAACTTTGTATCTTGTAGAATACAACAATTTCAAACTAAAATGTGACTGCAGTGAGGGTATCAGCCACTGAAACAACGCAATTTTTGCAGATTATATGGTTGTATACATAGAAAATTTCAAGAAATATGCAAAAGAAAAAACAAAACAAGGCCAGGCGCAATGGCTTATGCCTGTAATCCCAAGAGTTTTGGGAAGCCAAGACAGGTGGATAACCTGAGGTCAGGAGTTCAAGACCAGCTTGGCCAACATGGTGAAACCCCATCTCTACTACAATTGCAAAAATTAGCCAGGTGCGATGGAGGATGCCTGTAATCCCAGCTACTCAGGAGGCTGAGGCAGGAGAATTGCTTGAACCTGAGTGTCGAAGGTTGCAGTGAGCCAAGATTTCGCCATTGCACTCCAGCCTGGGTAACAAAAGCAAAATTCCAGCTCAAAAAAAAAAAAAGATAGAAAAAAACTGCTGGAACTAATAAGAGAATTTAGCAAGATACAAGGGGTCAATGTGTAAAGTTAAATTGTCTTTCTCCATACCAGCAGTGTACAATTGGAACCCAAAATTAAAACAATAAAATTCACAGTAGATCCTCAAATAAAATAATCGCACAAAACATGTACACACTCTCTGTGCTGAAAACTAAAAATAGCTGATAAAAGACACCATGTTCATAAATTAGAATAATCAATAATATAAAGATGACAATTCTTCCCAAATTTATACACATGCTTAATATAACTAGAATTTTGGGGAGACACAGGTTGATTCAAAAATGTATACAGAAAAGCAAAGAAGCTAGAATAATTAAAACAATTTTGAAAAAGAAGAATAGATTGCTTTTACACTGCATAATTTTAAATTTTACTTTAAAGGCATTTTAACAAACACAGTATGGTGTTGGCAAAGAAACAGATGCAAGATAAATGAAACGGTAGAGAGAGGAGAGTGAGAGGAATAGACCCACATACATATGGCCAATTGATTTTTCAATCCTTTTTAAAATTAATCGACTCTATTATTATTATCTGTGACGGGATCTCACTGTTGGCCAGGCTGTAGTGCAGTGGCACAATCATGGTTCACTGCAGCCTTGACTTCCTGGGCTCCAGCAATCCTCCCACCTCGGCCTCCCGAGTAGCTGGTACCACAGGTATGCGCCACCGTTCCCGGCTAATTTTTGTATTTTTGGTAGAGATGGGGTTTCGTCATGTTGCCCAAGTTGAACCAGGTCTTGAACTCCTGAGCTCAAGCTATCCATCTGCCTTGGCCTCCCAAAATGCTAGGGTTACAGGTGTGAACCACTGTGAGTCTGTGCCTGGCAAGACTTTTTATATATATATAATAGTTTAGATTTCTGGAAAAATTAAGTACAGTAGGGCAGTGCGGGGTCACCATGGCAGAGCTGCAGCAACAGCAGGCGCAGGAGGCAGTGAACTCCATGGTGAAGAGTCTGGAGAGAGAGGACATCCGGAAGATGCAGGGTCTCATGTTCCAGGGCAGCACCAGCTGTTGTGAGGACCACCAGGCATCCATGCAGCAGGTGCACCAGAGCATCGAGTGCTGCCATGTGCCTCTGGCTCAAGCCCAGGCCTTGGTCACCAGTGAGTTGGAGAAGTTCCAGGACTGCCTGGCCCGGTGCATCATGCATTGCAACGACAAAGCCAAAGATTCAATAGATGCCGGAAGTAAGGAGCTTCAGGTGAAGCAGCAGCTGGACGGTTGTGTGACCAAGTGTGTGGATGACTACATGCACCTCATCCCAACCACAACCGAGAAGATGAAGGAGGCTCTCTTACGAATTGGGAAATAAAAGTCTTTGCCAGTGGCCAATAAGGGTGAGAATATATTTTTTATAAAGAATTAAGAATTTTCATCTTTTAAGCAAAGTTTATGAATGAAGAAATTAAGGATGGCCACAAGTGTAAGGCATATGTCATTTGCTTCTGGACACTGGTTCTTTTATATTTCAGTCCTAAAAAGTGAAGTGGAAAAATATGGCGCTAAATTGGGTCAGAGATATTACAGGAGAGTTTTAGAGCTTATATTTCCTGTGGCCAGTGATTGTCCTGGCAGGAAGAATCTCCCCTGTAACAAGCCAGAGCCTTTCAGGGTCACAGACTCTTATTACACAGGTACCAACAGGCTGGCAGGTTACAGTTGGTGAAGATAGCTTCTCTTTGTTGCCAACATCCTGTTTACCGGAAGTGTCACGGCGCCATTTTCCATAAGCTGTGAAACAAAATCCATGAGGTCACTAACTCAGAAGGGAAAAAAAGTTTTCTGGGTCTTTATTTTCTTGGTTTTGTGTGATTCATACAAGGGCATACAAGTTGATTTTAAGATGTGGAATTGGGAGGGAGAGTAGTTTGAATAAGAACTTTGAAAGGTTCCTTGTGGATCCCCGTTTCTGGTCATGAAGATGTGGATGTGTATTTCTTAAAATTATTACATGCTTCATCTTTCAGCCTGGAGACTGTGCAAAAACATGAGAGGTAAATTATGGAAAGCAGAGCTTCTCTCTTACTGGCTGATGGACCCTGAGGCTCTGTGTAGCAAAACAACAGGACAATCTTACAGTTATCCTCTCCCCTTGAAGGGAAGGGGGGTTTGATTGGGATATATACCAACGTCTAGGAATGAGCAGTAAAAGAGGAGAAGTTGGCTACTTGATTATAAGAGAGTTAAGAAGTACTGGATTTGGAAAAATCTGTTTTTTATAGAACAGAAGGGAATGAAAGCTTAAATCTAGCATTGCTTCCTTAGCCCCCTGAATTAACAGAGCCCAACCGAGACCAACCCCTGATGCTACCTTCATAATTTATTTGACTCATTCATTTCACATGTATAGAAACACAGCAGATATTTGTGTGTTGATTTTGTATCCTATAATTTTTCTGAATTCGTTTCTTAGCCCTAGAAGTGTTCTTGTGGATTGTGAGGGATTTCCTATATTAAGATAATTTCATTTGGGAATAAGGATAGTTTACTTCCTCCTTTCAAATTTGGATGCCTTTTATTTCTTCTTGTTTAAGTGCTGTAGCTAGAACTTGCAGTACAGTGTTGTATAGTAGTGGGTAAAGTGGACATCTTTGTTTTGCTTCTGATCTTAGGGAGAAAAATGTTAGTTATTCAGCATTGAGTATGATTTTAAGAGTGAGTTCTTCATAAATGCCATTTATCACAGGTTCCCTTCTATTCCTAATTATCTCTGTGTTTTTATCATGAAAGTGTGCTGGGTTTTGTCAAAAGCCTTTTCTACATCTATTGAGATGATCATGTGTTTTGATTTGTTCTATCAATGTCATCTCTTCCAATGATTGATTTTCTTATCTTGAACCACTCTCACATTCCTGGACAAAATGCCACTTGATCATGGTGTGTAATCCTTTTGATACATGTTGAATTTGGTTAGATCTGCCAGACAATAACACTTTGTACTCAATACTAAATTGTACTAATGAAGATTTTACATTTATCAGCATAAAGAGACAGAAATAACTCTCTTATCTGTACCTTAGGAGTTCTTGGAGTTAAATGTATCTCTCTCTCTCTCTCTCTCTGGTAAACTATGCCATTTTTCAGTAATCCGTTTTTTTTTTTTGTTTTTCTTTTTTGAGACGGAGTTTTGCTCTTGTTACCCAGGCTGGAGTGCAATGGTATGATCTTGGCTCACCACAACCTCCGCCTCCTGGGTTCAGGCAATTCTCCTGCCTCAGCCTCCTGAGTAGCTGGAATTACAGGCACGCACCACCATGCCCAGCTAATTTTTTGTATTTTTAGTAGAGGCAGGGTTTCACCATGTTGACCAGGATGGTCTTGATCTCTTGACCTCGTGATCCACTCGCCTCGGCCTCCCAAAGTGCTGGGATTACAGGCATGAGCCACCGCGCCCGGCAGTAATCTGGTTTTAATTCCATGTTTTAATTTTTCATGTTTTTTAGATGAAGTCTCCCAGGCTGTTGCATGGCCTGGAGTGCAGTGCAATGGCACAATCACAGCTCGCTGTTGTCTTGAACTCCTGGGTTCTAGTTGTCCTCCCACCTCGGCCTCCCAGATAGCTAGGACTACAGGTGTGCACCACTGTGCCTCACCAATTTATATATATATATTTTTTTAGAGATGGGGTCTTGCTTTGTTGCCCTGGCTAGTCTTGAACTCCTAGCCTCAGACGATCCTCCTGCCTTGGCCTCCCAAAGTGCTGGAATTGCAGGCATGAGCCACAGTGCCTGACTGAGTGATGGATCTCAGCAGGCTTGGAGCTACCTCCAGGGAAGGCAGTGAGCTTAGTGCCCAAGAGCAAATAAAAGTGCCAGAAGCAGTGATCCTGCTGGACTCCCTGTTCCTGCTGTCCCCTTCTGGGAAGCACAGCAGGAGGACTCCAGATGGCCTTCGCTTCAAGCAGGCAGAGTGCCAAGCTGTGATCTTGCCTCTGTGCCACACCGTTTATCTGACTCATGGTAATGTGTATTGCACAAATATAAATAGAACCAATTGGTTATGAGAATTTTTGAAATTAAAAAGGGTTGAAATGAGTTGGGGCCAGATAGTCTATTTTTAAAATCTCTGCTTGTGTCAGGCAGTTTCTAGTTGTTTTACTGTTATCCATAGGATGGAGGGGGAATGAGAATTTGGGGGAAATCTTGGTATCTAAGAAGGAAAACACCCGTAGATTGTCTTAGACCATGCTCTCCATCTAGCTGCATGATGGTGGGAGTGGGGGGTAATGGGTGTGTGGTGGATATGGGGCATTGCCTGGATTTTCAGATTTGACTTTGTTTCTCCCAGTAGAAAAAGCGCTTCCGTGTAAGGAGTTCAGAGCCTGGATAAATCCAGAAAAGGTCACTAAGCGAAGTTCAGGTTTTCCTTTCCAGAGTGTAGCTGGTGGAGAGTTATGTCTTGGAGTCTTTTCGCAGAAGTTGAGGAATGACTGGTGGTTTATGGAAGCCAAGGCCAACTTCTCTGGCATGTCAACTAGGAAGAATATACCATGGTTCCAGCGGCCCACACGTGCTTTGCAGAGGCCAGGGAGGAAGGCGCAGGGTGACTGTGGCCTGCACAGTGGTCAGGAGTGCCCTGGGCAGCAGAACAGAACAGAACGAAATTTTGCACAGACCACTCTTTCCTTTTCTTCATCAGGCACCACAGAACCAGCAGCATTTTGTTCTAGGGTGGGCTCTCTTCTCCATGAGGATGTGCAGTCACTCTTCATGAGCCCCCTCCCTTCTGCCTTCCTTGCCCTCATTTAAATCTTGTGGGGCAAAAAATCAGTGCAGCACTTCCAGTAGCCAAATACAGCATGAGCACCAGGTTGTGGACAGCCGGCCTGATCATCACACAGCCGCTGGGAATGACTGAGGCACGGATGGGTGCAGTTTGGGCCAAAGGGGCTATGCTGGTTTTGGGGCCTTGGGGAGACCTGAGTGATGATGCTCTTGCCTGCATTCCCTAGAATGGCCTGCTTCTCTCCCGGGCTGTTCCCATTCTTTGTGAATGTCCACAGGAGCTTCTTGGGGATTCAGGGACCGGCCCCCGATATGCCCTGTGTCCTAGGATATTTTCAAAGCTTTTCCCCAACCCCCACCATCAACTCCATGCTGCCATGCTCACCAGGAGATGCCAGTTTCCAGGCCCCCCGGGTTGCAAAGCCAGAGATCTTGACGTGTTAACCCTTCAGCCACCCAGGGCAGTTAAGACTCCTAGGCAGTTGAGACAAAGTGACTCTTCCTCCCTCAGTGTCACAAGACACCGGCATGTTCCACCCCTCAGTGGAGTCCTTCGTGAAAACAATCCCAATTCATGAACAAGGCATGTTTCTCCATTTGTTACAGTCTTTTCAAATTTATCTCAGTTTTACAGTTTTCAGTATATAGATATGTATTTTACATCTTTTGTAAGACTTATACCTAAGTACATATTATTTTGGATGTTTATAAATGATTATTGTCTGTTGATTTCAATTTAATTATTTGTTATTAGTATATAGCACTACAATTGGTTTTTGTATTTCAACCTTGCTAACTTGCTAAAGTCACTTAACTTAGTAGCCTTTAGTAAATGCCATGAAATTTTCTACATAGACAATTATAACTCTTGCTACTAATGACATTTCTTCTTCCTTTCCAAACTGTTCTTTTTCTTGACTTACTGCACTGAGTAGAACCTACGCAAAGAGCATTTTTTCATCATTAAGTATGCCATTAGCTATAGGTTTTTCACAGATGCTCTTTATCAGTTGAAAAAGTTCTCTTCTATTTCTAGTTTGCTGAAAGGTTTTTTTTTTTTATCAGAAAGGGATGTAGGATTTTGTCAAATGCTTTTTTTTGTATCTTTGAGATGATCATATTTTTGCTTAGACTGTTAATACTATGGCATGGTGATACATGCCTGCAGTCCCAGCTACTCAGGAGGTTGAGGCAGGAGGATCACTTAAGCCCAGGAGGTGGAGGCTGCAGTGCGCTGTAATCATGTCTATAAACAGCCACTGCACTCCAGCCTGGGCAACACAGGGAGAACTCAACTTGAAAGATGAATGGTCAACTTGAAAGCTTTTTGTTTGTTTGTTTGTTTGAAATGGAGTCTCACTCTGCTGCCCACTCTGGAGTGCAGTGGCATGATCTCGGTTCACAGCAACCTCCACCTCCTGCATTCAAGCAATTCTCCTGTCTCACCTCCCGAGTAGCTGGGACTGCAGGTGCACATCATCACACCCAATTAGCTTTTGTATTTTCAGTAGAGACAGAGTTTTGCCATTTTGGTCAGGCTGGTCTTGAACTCCTAACCTCAGGTGATCTACCCATCTTGGCCTCTCAAAATGCAGG